CTGGACCGTGGCAGCCGGCCTTAGTTTGTCACCCCAAGCGTGTTTGACATCAGAGGTCGGTGGCTGGAGCGCGCCGTAAGGGACGTAACCAAGGGACGGCAGGTGGAGAGCTGCGGGGCTGTATTAAGCGTAGTCATCAGCAACAGCTTCCCGGTGCATGGCCTGCTCGCTGGTCTTCTGTCACGCCGTCATACGATTCGTGGACTCGTGTATGTGTGTGTGTGCGTGTGTATGTGTGCGTGTGCACAGGTTTCTCTTGCGGTGTTTTCACGTGCTTATGGGACTTTCCAACCCGTTTCTCTGGCTCAGAGAGTTTCTTGCCATGAAAAGCACCAGCACATCTTGTCACTTGTTTATTCTAGCTCTTGCACAGACACACAGCACAAGTTACGTCGGTCACGTGGTGGTTTCCTTTTGTAGAGAAGAAAGGCACGCCGATTACATGAAATAATTTCTTTCTTGTATTTTTTTATTGAAATCCCATGCCTCATTGTTTATGAGATGAGCGTATTCAGGAACTGAGTGTGCTATCTAGACAGTTTAGCCAAAACAAAGCAGTAAATTCACAAAGCATGAAGACTTTCTCTATTTTATTCTGAAATTGTAGCTCCCGAAAGCATGCAGCCTCTGAATAGTGTTTTGCTAGTTGCATCTTGATGCTTCGACTATGGGAAAATGCAATATATTTATTTGTTCTTAATATTGTGCTTTTATGTGAGGGGAAAGTTGTAAACATAGGTTGCATGAGACCTTAATTGTATTTCTGTGCTCAGTAGCTGTTTGTTTTGCAGGTGATGGTGTCTATCTATGTGTGTGAGCATGTGCCCATAGGTTCTGGGAAGTCTTTTTTCTGAAAAATCCTTTTTAGTGACCAGGACATGCTAGGTATTTTCTCTCTCTCTCTGTCTGTAAATATGTATATATACACACACATATATGTGTATTCGAGATGGTTAGTGTTAGAGCAGCAGTGCACTTCCAGTGCCTGCTGCACTTAGCGTGTTCCGGGTGGATGCAGTGGAGCAGAGGAAGCTCGCAACTGGGTTACTACCAGCTGGCAGTCTGATCGAACAAGTTTATTTTGCCTTGTCTGCAATGACCTTACGGTTAAGTGCCTCAGACTAACTACTATTTTGCAAGCATAGTATCCCTTTCCCTCCAAGATGGCTGTAATCCATTTTTATTGTCCACAGAGAGATCACACTTGCATCATAAGTACAAATCTTTTAAGGGAAACAATGAGAAAATGCTAGAGAAAGGAATGACTTTCCATCCCAAGGCAGTTGGAGAAGTTTCCATTTCGCAGTATAGTTGAGTCGAATTACTCCTGAACAGCTTTCAGTGGAGCACTGGGTGAAGTGAGTGATGGGTGTGTGCCTGTCTCCTCAGTGCTGGCAACTGTAAAACATCCTGTTTTGAAGATATTACTGATGTCTATTTGTATATCTTACTGAGTGATACGTAGTATTTCCTACTGCTGTGCTCAGAGTGGAGACATCCAGGCAAATACCCTGGATTTCTTTCTATTTCATGTTGTGAAACAGTGCAGTTCTGCCTTGAATTTAGCCGTTGGAGCTTCAAGCCAGAGATCGCCAGTGTCAGATTATGTCTTTTTTCCATTGGCTTCAGTAGGTGTTGTATAATTAACAAGGAGGCACTTCAAGTCTTTTCTGTCTTCTCTATTGGATCAATAATATAGTATCAATGCAATTAGTAATTCTTCCTTAGTTAGAAACAACAGTGGGAGACAAATATTTTGCAAAGTTATCTTACTTGAGTCAATATTTTCTATAATTTGTGCCCCCAGCAGTGTTTTTATTTTATATGCAATAACAAAAGTATAAAAAATTATTACACCCACTCTAAAGCTGGCCATTCTCATTAGTCATTTTCCATCTCATTTCAACTATATAATGTGATTTTCAAGCGCTTAATATTTTATACATCTCCAGAGCTATAGATTACTGTGTTTTCTTTCACTTGGGATTTCAGAGACAGTACGATGTTGCCTATTGCTGCAGCAGGTCTTGAGAGAGCCTCTTCCCAAATAAATGCAGAGCTGAATTGCTAGAAAGAGGAGCAGAACGTAAGAGGGTAATGTGATGCCAAGGTCGCGCTCAGTGGAAGCCAGGCTTTAGTAAGTGGTCATTAGCCTTGATGTTCTACAGAAGCAGGGCTTATAAAATGAGGTGCACAGGCTCCCCTGGCTCATCCCGAGGCAAGAGCCTATGATCTGACAATGAAAATAATCACCCTTGAATTTAGGAGACATTAAGGGACAATCCAGAGTTTTTACTCCTCTCTTTGAAACGTGGTGGTATGTCAGGAGTTCAGAGGCTTCAGTCGTAGCATTTCCCAATGCTCAAATGCAGGAGGATCAGTCCATGCTACAGTACTGCCAAAGCTGTGTGCCAAAACAATTTCTCTGCGACGATTTCTCTGCTACAGTTTCATTGATGCTATATTACCAAACTAATTGATCCAAATTATGTTTTGTTTCCATAGGTTTCCCATTCTCCTAGTAGCAGTTCTAACATGCATGTTTCAATGGCACCATCAGAAGCATTTGGTGACATTTTGAACACTCCTCTGAGTAGTAACACGTTAGTGTCGCATAGGTTCCTCACTGGAAACCAGAGCTTCTGACTAATATGTTGTCTTAAGAAGGTCCAACTTGGACACTTAGGTCAAATCCAAGCACCTTCTCTCTTGTTTTCCTCCCATCAGTTGCTTTGACAAAGAGGGTTAAGATGAAGGTCCTTAATAGTTGAGACTGTTGAAATTATTCTATTTTGTAGTTCAAATACTGCAATTTCGTATTTTTCTAATATGTCTTCCTATACTTCCTCTTCCAGGTACTTCATACTTAACAGATATAGTATGGTGGTCTGGCACTATTGCAAGTAAGTATCTTAAAAGCTTTGATTTTTTTTTTTTTTTTTTGAAGAGAGAAGTTGCAGTTAGATGGTAAAATGGTTGCGGTTAGATGGTAAAATGACACATCAGGAAATCTAGGTTCTCATCTTGAATCTCATGCTTACTTGTCAGGAAATTCCCATCCCTCATAAATGTCCCACCTTCAGCAAACTCTCATTCTGGCTGCTGTGTCTGACGGTGTTTGAGAAGGCAAAGAGCTGGGACAATCCCAAGTCAGACGTCTGTCCAGATTTCCGAACCGGTTGGTACTTGCAGCCCTTGGCAGCCACACACTGCTCTGACTTTGGGCTCCTGCGCAGTTTGTGTCTCTGAATTGCGCCGGTCTGCTCCATTTTAAATAAAAGTCAAAGCTGAATAATAAATTGTCGCTCTGCACAAAAGGGCTCATTGAGCACATGTTATTTTTTGAGATCAGAAAGCACTTAGACAGCCTCAACTGAAAAAAAAAAAGAATCCTTTTTGATTTCTAGTTCGACAGATACAGTTTCAGTTTTGCTTTTAATCTGCAAGATTAATGTGAAGCCTTGTGTAGTGCTGATAGGAGATCAGTGTAATTTCACTCTTAGTATCTTTGTAAACTCTGCTCAGGCTAAGTTCGCACTCTGATGTTGAATCCAGGGCATAGGGAGCAGCTACCTTTCTCCTCTTGCAGTTCAGCCCTAGTTTTACCCACGAGTTTAAAATCATACCCCGCTTTTAGACTCTAACCCAGCCTTTTGTGAATTATTTGGAAATGTTCTGATGCTGTTTCTGAAGTGCATCCAGTTGTGCACCTTGTTTTGTGGCAACAAGGTAAGTCTCTGGTTTTGTTACCTTCAAGTTATGCAAAAGGAATGGAAACTGATAGATCCCTTGAAGGACAAAGTTCTTCAAGCAAGTCCAAGTTCTTCAAAGTTCTTCAAGGAAGCGTCAAAGCCAGCAGAGCTTCAAAGGGAAGTCCTCGGCTAATTTAACCAGAGTTAGCTAATTTAACCTGAGTTTAAGTAGTACTTTGTCAGCTTCCTCCTCTGCCAGGCTCGCTGCTGCCTACGTAGCAATAAATCTGTGCATTAATCACTGCTGTTAATCCCTCATGAGGCTTCCGTCTTGAATCTCTGAGAAGAAGGAGTTAAAATAGGAGAGGTTTTATTGCAGGAGTTTATCTTGGTGAATCAGAGAAAACGATTTCATGCTTAAAAGAGCTGACAATTGAATGAAGGCAAAATAGCTGAAGGGAATGGTATCAATTGGCTTTTGTCCAGTAGCTAGGTGCAGGTATTTCAAAACAAAGCCTCAGTAAACTTACAAAGGAACCAAGGGAAGAATTGCTTAAGGACGTTATAGATTCAGAATTACAACAGAGGCACAGATGGCAATAGCAAGGGCGAGGCAGGCACCTAATGGGATGCAGAGAAAGCTGATGTTTGAGGAATTAGCAATATCCTCAGTTATCTGGGTGAAATTATAACAGCTGACATCATCTTCTGAAGCAGGGAATTTGGAGTTTGGATGACTAACAAAACCCACATAAACTCTGTCAACTTGTTTTCACAATATTTGTTCAGATGGTGAACAAGCATTTCTATGTTGGTATGCTGACTCAGCATAATATGCCTGACCATCATGGGGCCTTGGGATCCACTGGGTTACTGAAGACTTCAATGGAAGGGCTACAGATTCTGCTAAAGGATTTTTTTGTTTAAAGTCAAAAGAGTGATTGCAGCATGTGTACAGGTATTTGAATGACCATTAAACTAATTAATTGGCTAATTAATTAGTTTCAGTGCAGGTTTTGATAGCAGCATAGAAGTGGCTGGGTTTTCTAGTGGATACACCTATGTTAGCATTTTATTGCAGATGGGGAATGCACTTGTGAAGCGAATCTGTTTGTCTGCATGAATTGGGCTTTCTTTCACGTTGCAGAGCAGTGTTGGAGCTCCCAGACAGGCCTTTGAGATGAAACTAGGCTGGAATATGCACTCTAGGAACATGCCTAACACACACCAGCTGCTAATAGACTTTCAGTCCGTGGGAGCAGGCTGAAGTTAGTCTGAAATAAACCCCCTGACATGCGTAGAGCAGACATCTTTGCTGTACAGTTCTATTTCTGGTCTCCTTGCTAATGTAGACGTGTCAGTGTGCATCAAGTTTTGTGTTGAAATAACTTTGGGGATATTGATAGTTCTTTAGCAAGTTTAAAGCTTGGTGTCCCTTCAAGAACTGAAGCCATGAATTGGCTTACAGCATTGATGTATCTGGAGAAGAATTTCTATCCAGAGAGGACTGGTTGGCAGCAAAGGTCCTCAACATCAGGTAGATGGTAACAATTATGGAGATTCTTTTTTTAATTGATCTTGATTAGTCCTGATCTGTCATTTGTGGTGGTAAGAGACTGTTACTCTTACTCCCTGGTGATACTGAAATCTTCTGGTAAGTTCAGTTGCCTTACAATATGTGCAGTTCGACTGAAGCTTCAGAGACCTAATTTATGGTAAGTTCAGTTCTTCCAACAGAAAGTTAAGGTAGCTGACCTCCAAAAAAAAGCAACTTTTTGTCAGAGTCACTTGGAAATGTATGTAATCTGCAGAAACACAGCGTGCTAGCTGTGTCCCGTCCTTCATGCAAGATCTGCTCCAGTGCTTTCAGATGCCTTGAAGGTAATGCTGAAGTTGCCACATACATCTGCTGAAAAACAAGCCCGAGGCTGATAGCTGAGTTACTCTGTTCCCAGGGGCAGGGAGAATTCAGGAGACCATCACTGACTCTTGTGCTCTAGAAATGCTGCTCATTAACTTCTCTGGCTCACTCCTGCACAGTGAATTGAATTAGTATAATTTTGCCATACTCTGCCATTTTGTAAGTTTGTTTGTCTCCTTCGTGTTTCCTGTAGGTTACACAGGTCGTCAGCTCTACTGATAATGTGAACTCATTTGGTAAATTAATTAATGTTTGCACAGTGCTTTGCAGGTGTAAAGAACAGGATGATGGTAATGATATTTGATAGTTGAGGGCAATGCCAGCCAGAGCATAAAGACAGCTTGGATTCTCAAAATGGTTTTAAGTGCTGATAATGGCTCTTAACATCAACTGGAAATTTGAGCTATATGTAATGTGTGTTCAATATCAAGGTTCTTGCCAGTTACCACAGACCCTGTAACTATCCAAGCATCACGTTGACTGACCTATTTTAAACTTGCCAGCACTTACAAAACCATCCAGCTTTTCTTTTTTAACTGAAAACTTGAGCGCATGAACCGTTTATCACAGCTGTGATGTGCAATAGTGTGGTACATTTTGGAATTTGCTTTTATTGGAGGAAAGACAAAATTAAGATTGTGAGGCTGTTACTGTGACTCGTCAGGGATCTGGTCTTTTTACAGTTGTCAGGAGTTACTTTTGATGTGTTGTGAAAAGTTAATGCGATCTACTGTATATTGAAGAGCTTTTATGCATGTGCTTACTATTTCATTATTAGATTCCTTTTCTCAGTACTGTCCTTACCCCTCCCCTCCCCCAATGTAATACTGTTTTTGGAAAATATAACCAAGTGCATTCGTGTTACGTGTATGCACATTCTAAAGCTGAAATAATGGGTTATATATACTTGTAGCCCTCTTCATAAAAATGTTTGAGTGTAATCCATGAGTGTTTCTAATTCATAGTTTTACTTATATTTAACTAAGAGAAGTTGCAAGTGAGATTTACTGTGCCCTCTTGGATCTTCTTGTGTGGCAAATATAAATCCTATATTAAAAAATAATTTAAAAATACAGAAAACTTCCAGCTGTTTTGTTTAAGTGCAAAATCAGAGCTAAGCAAATCTGTGACATCTGTTTTCCAGTCTTTCTCAAACAGTATTGGGTAAATTTTCATTACTTCTTTTTCAAAGGGATTTAAAGGCATATTTCTGGCTCTCTTGACAGTGGCTCTGGGTCAAATAGGCAATTTCTTGGCCTACACTGCAGTCCCAACTGTGCTAGTGACGCCCTTGGGAGCTCTTGGCGTTCCATTTGGGTAAGAGTTTGCTTTTCTTGTTCTTATCTGAATGTTGTTACTACTTAATAAAATGTCAGATAGACTCTCACTGGAGGTCCACTGAGAAGATGTCAGGCTTATGACTGTTAATGATGTATTATAATGTCACCGATTCCTGTTTTCCCCAGCAAAGTGATGGGAGGGGAAGGCAATGATGAAAAAGGGTTCCTAAAACATCTTGTGCTTTAACTATCACTATGACATGGAACACATAAGCATATCTTTTTACTCTTCACCGTGCTTATTCTGGACTCTTCTATCTATTCTCTTATTCACAGTTCCCTTACTATGTAGATCTTTCCTTTTGTCTCACATTCTTTCTCTCCCCTGCTATCCACAGTCCACACGTGTTTATGATGCTGATTTTCATTTAATTGGATTTGGTCCTGTTTCCTGAAGCAAGAGAGTCCTTTGCATATGCGTGCCCATAGCTTCTTGCATGTTATGCCCATGTGAGGGGAGGGAACAAAAAAGGCAGCAAGCGTTCCTAAAAGGAGTTTAATGTGCAACTAAAAGTTTTGTGAACAGCCAGACTACAGCTGTGAAACTACTGCAGTTAAAAACAAAGCTGTGTCTTTCCTCGAGATTTTTCTGTTGCCTGCTGTTGTCTGCTGAATTGCATATCTGACTGCACACTGGTCACTACTTCAGAGTGTAGATTGCTATGTGTGGGCTTCACGGCTGTCTTCAGTTTCGTACGCTACGAAGCACGCTGATGGTACTCTACTTACCACCTATTATTTTGTCCTAGGCCATATGATTTTGTGTATTTTGGTCAGCTACATGTCTGAGCTGAGCCTTGTGATCTTTGTAACTAAAGGCCACTTTTATCTCATGACTGTGTAGCACCTATAAAATGGGGCTTCTGACAGCTTACCAAATTGTTAGCAGGTAGATACCTGCTTCAGGTGCCAGATACCTGTTTTGAAGGTTCGGTGCTTTTTTAAAGGGGATGATGTGATGTTGGTTTTGGGAGTATTGCGCTTGGGGTTTTTGTTGTTTGTTTGTTTGTTCCTGAGATGAAACATCAAGGATTGAGTAAGGTAGACTGGAGATAAGTCAGAAATGCATTTTGAGGATCCACCAACATATGGTCGAAGATCCACCAACATTTAATACTGTTCCTTTAAGAGGGAAATTCATGTGGCACATCACTGTTAGAGCATTATTAACAAGACGTATTCAAGCTTTTAATTTTCTTCCTCTTTGTGAAAGGTCCATTTTAGCTTCTTACTTACTGAAAGAAAAACTGAACATTCTTGGCAAGCTGGGATGTTTGCTGAGCTGCGCTGGGTCTGTTGTTCTCATCATCCATTCCCCAAAGTCCGAGAGTGTAACGACTCAGGCTGAGCTTGAAGAGAAGCTTACAAATCCAGGTACTTTGTTCTTTTAACTCATAATGATTTTGTGCATGCAGGAGGAAGAGGCTTATGACTTCCACCAGGTAGGAAAAATGACAAAGGCAAACCAGTACGGCTTTTGTGTAGGAAAACTATGCCTTGCTGTACTTGGAACAATCAGATTTATTGACGCACGTGTGCATAAAGGAAAATGTGGATACTTTTGAAAACAATATCTGGCACAGCAAGCTCAGAACAATGGCCATTTGAACTTGTAATTTCCTAAAATTATGAAAAAGTTTATCTTGCTACTTAGAGATGAAAGGTATAATTCCAGGATGCCAATTTAAGTTGTTTTATACAAAACAAAAATACTGATTGTCTTTTGTTCTTTAATTCTGCATTTGTTTTTTTTATTAGAAGTTTACACTAGATACCAGTTATGTTCCAAGCGGATTTCTTTGCACAATAAAGATGTGTAGAAGCACGCTGTTGAGACATATGCTGAATGCCTGTTCTTTCTCGCAGAGAATGTAAAGCCCCACTAGCTCCTGGAGGACACATTCTAGTCCTAATACACACCAGACCCACTTTTATTTTTCTTGCGTAAGAGCTAAACTGCCAACTATTGTTATTTCCTTTAATTGCTTTAGGTGAGAGAAACTCAAACCTAATAACATCAACTATCCAAAAAATTTGCAAAGGAAAATAAATGCCCTGGTCTAAATTTGCCATTTCAGTCTGATCAAAATTAATTGGAAATACATTTCTTTAAAACTATGAAGCATGAAATGTTTTTCACCAGTCTAATCTGTGTGCTGATGCTATAATGTAAATGATATGGCATCCCAGTTCTTCCAGCTCTCCCTACTCACCTTAATGGGATCTAGCTTTGTCTAAGCTCTTTGCTAGATCCACGCACCATTCTTTATTGAACTGGTAATCAATGAGATGTTATCACAGCTGTCTGTCATAGGGGGCTTTAAGGAGTATAATCCTGATGGAAAAGAGAACAACAACAAAAAAAGCTGTCTTAAATCCAGTTCAAATGTGCAACAGTGTTTATTTTACTACCTGATGATTTATTTTACACAAAGAACATGACAACAGCATCAGTTGCAGATGCCCACAACATCTCTAAAAGCTCAGTGATTTGAATATATATTCAATAGCAAATCTTAATCCTGGTGTGTGCCTGAAGTTCACTGGTATGACATGATTTGCCTGCTAAAGTTTTTAGAAGACCCAAGAGTTCTCACCATGCTATTATCTTGTTTTCTTTTTGTTTTCCAGTTTTCGTGGGTTATCTCTGCGTAGTACTGCTAATGCTTCTCCTGCTTATCTTCTGGATAGCTCCAGCTCATGGACCTACCAATATCATGGTTTACATCAGTATTTGCTCTCTGTTGGGCAGTTTCACTGTTCCCAGCACAAAAGGCATTGGGCTGGCTGCTCAAGATATCTTTCACAATAACCCCTCGAGTCAAAGGGCTCTGTACCTCTGTCTGGTACTTCTGGCAGTATTGGGATGTAGCATTATCATTCAGTTCAGATACATTAATAAGGCATTGGAATGTTTCGACTCGTCTGTGTTTGGTGCCATCTACTATGTTGTGTTTACCACCCTAGTCTTGCTGGCTTCAGCTATCCTTTTCAGGGAATGGAGTAATGTAGGAGTGGTAGATTTCTTGGGAATGGCTTGTGGATTCACCACAGTGTCTATTGGAATTGTTCTTATACAAGTCTTCAAGGAATTCAACTTCAATATTGGGGATTTAAATAAACCTAACATGAAAACAGATTAAAATATTTTTTGAGAGGAAACTGGATGGCTCAGGGAAGGATGCAGAGCCTTTCGTGTCTAGGTCACTGATTCAAATATGATTCAGGTTGGTAGTTACCCTTTGACGATTTGGTGGCCTAGGTGAATGAATTGAAGGCCTCCATCCAGTTTCAAAGGAACAGTTATCCATGTACCCCAGTCAACACAATAAATGACCTTAATTGGAACCACTGATTGAGTCAGCATAGAGACCGATGTACTTACTTAACTGGAAAAGGTAATCCGTGAGAAAAGATCTGGGGATATTCTGACAGACCTGTGTGTGAAAGCTTGTGTTGTGGCTTCTGAGGTACCATTTCTGCAGGCAGAGAACATCAGTTTCTAATGCACTCAATCTGACACCTTTCATGAGTGATATGTACCTTAAAATATAGGGGGCGGGGGGGGAGGGGGGAAGTGAGTGGAACAATTTGTTAGTCTCAATATAGCAATGTGTTCACCGTCAAGGCTGTGAATTCTGAGACAAGTGTTGGTTGAACCATGGACTGCAGATTTGACCTTTTTAGTGACTGTCTCGGTAACTTGGTCTGCCATACGGTGAAGACGCTGGGGAGTTTTAAATTGAATTCTTTATACAGAACAGTGGACCCTTAAAAATCTTTGGCTACTTACTTATCAGCTGATGGTAGTGTCCAGGTATGCGTTTTTCTTTGTAACTTTCGTGCATTAAGACATACCGCATTCATCTGAGAGTTTTTAATTGGGAGCAGAGAGAAGGACTGTGAATGACGTGCAAAAGATGCACAGACTCATTGCCTATATGGTGGCTTATTTGTAAGCAGCTCAGAACTATTTCAGTGCCTTTGTAATCCAAAAATACTGAATAAATGTGAATGTATTTGTTTCAGATGGCCTACACTGGTTTAGTAATTCAATTTCACTGTCTGTAATATTGGACTGTATTCAAATTCTAAACACATAAAGCATCCAGAAGGAGCCATGTGTTTTTGGAAGAATTTACAAACCTGAACTGAAACCCTTAGATGCCTTGACAGCTTCTAAAAAACTCATAATCCTAATGGGAAGAGGTAATCTATGGGAGGACTATTTAAAGCAGTCCAGCATATCTTTATTCTAGTTAAGTGACTAAATACAGGAAACCGTTTTGTGAAGTAGCTAATAAGCAGAGACCACAAAAAAGAAATTTGAGAGAGAGAAGAGCATGGGATTTGTCATAGCTCAAAAAAAGATGGTCTGATCCTCTTGTAATGTAGGAAAAGGAGGTTAAAGACTGAAAAAGCAAAGGCATTCAGAGCGCTGAGTTTCAGATATCCAACAGGGATATTCATTCAGATCCAGTAATTTACAGACCTGTGTGAACAGCTCAGCAATAATATTTCGACAAGCAGTGCAAATAGCTTAAGCTATGATTGGAATTATTCTGAACTGTTCAGTTTAGACCATTTAGAGAACTTGATATGTCAAAGAAAGAAATAGTTAATTTTCATGTCGTACTTATATTTGGTAGATAAAACATCACGAGTCAAAAACTGGTAAAGAAAGCTTGAAAAGTAATGAATATTGGTTTCCATTTAAGTACAAAAATGGAAGGGTACAGCGGAACTCCACATCTCTAGTTCAGAACATGTCTTGAAACAAACAAAAAACTCCAATGAGATTGTGAGACAGCATTTGAAAAAGATCATGACACTTTATCAAGATATCATGAATGTAGCTTTGTGGCTGGCTGACAGGTATGCGGACATTGATTAATGGGGAGTGATACTGTCCACTCTTGTGACTGTTTTTGTTCCTCTGAATTAATGTTACTTTAAAACTCAGCCTCCATTTTCATTTAAAAAGAATAAGTCCTTCTGATGGCAGCAATAATCATGAACAGTGCATCCTAAAGATTCAATCTTCTGAAGCGACTATTCTGAGGGAGTAAGAGCCCCACTATGTTGTGTGGAAGCCTGTTTTGTAACTCCAAATTGGGGGGGGAATGACTCTGAGTTGGCAGAAATGCATGTTTTTATAGCCCAACATGGAAACTGGGTATCTTGGTGAAATAAAATAGTGCTACCAGAGAAAAGGCCAGCTTCATGGATTTTCCAGTACTTTGTATAGTTTCTAGAAATCTTGAGAATTGTAGATGGGGGGAATTGAACTATGAAAGCTGGTTAAAACTCACCTCTGTCCATTATTGATTGGAAGATGGTATCTTGGTTGTCAGCAGACAGTTATGTTTTGTCACATTAATTCCCTTTTTTCTGGTTGAAACTGGAATTGTACATAGGTTATGACTATAGTGACCTACCTTTTAAATCAATGTTAGCTGTTTTCTGAAGCAGTCGAGTTGTCTTTTCAAAATTCAAATTCAGAGTTCATGAGTTGCATGTTGTTTTTGTACTAGCCTTTAATCTCTGAAGACTTCTGTGAAAATCTTTAGGTTAAAATGGAAATGATTGTGGTCTCATCTTAGTCCTCCTTTGGCCATATTTGTCTTGTTTTGTTTTAAAATTTATTCCTGTTTATTTAGAAAGTGCCTATCCTGGTATGTTAGGTGCATATGCAAATTATTGCTAAATATTAGATCCAAAATAACTTGACTGCCCTGTCTAAACCTCGTCATTTTCTGCACCACACCCACAAGTTTACTTGATAAGCACTCACTATGCAGATTAAGAGTAAAGTAGCAGCCGTGTTCTGTGGTCCTCTCACCACCCTCACAGCTGATAAATGTCTGCATAGGTTTCTTCTCTCTTCCCCAGCTGCTCCACATCTATGATGAGCTTTCTAGAGATGTCCAGTTAACCTTGTTGTTTAAAATACAGATGTCAAAAGCCAGCACATAAGGTGAAAGAAATTCTCGTGGCCTTGCACATCATTTGTATCTGCAGCCTTTTACATCACGAATGCTAAATAACGGAAACCTTTATTTTTGCTACTTTGTTCAGCACGCAGCAGTATTTTTTTATGAGTTCTGCTGCACCTAGATCTGGTTCAGTTCTAACTTTAGAAATGTATTAGCATTTTATGTTGTCACTGTTGGTATGATCTTCTTCCTTCCATCCCACGCCCTCCTCGTTCTAGGTGTCCTACCTTTTTTAGTCCCATTGCTTTTCTGATTTAAAAGGAGGCACTGTTGAAGATGAATTTTAGCCCTTCCCTCTTTTTTTTCCACCCCTTTGACAAGTAAGCACTTTGAGTCAAAGACAGATACCTGAGTCCCATCATCTCAGGGAGCAAATGTGCGTAGTTGTCTCCTGAGCTTTGGTGTTCCTCATGAGTCTGCCCTTTTTATGTTCTCTTTGCCTTACATCAGTCGATAGTTACGAGCCAGATGACTTCAGTTCTGAGTGAGAGGTGACGCGTAACAAAAAGTGGACTCATTACAGTGGTGGGATGCATTTGAATTAAATTCAAATCCATACGAAAGGTGTTTCACACCATACGTCTGGCTTCTATTATACTTGTCAAACGTATTTACTTGGTACTCACTTGAAGATAGCTCTTTGATCATTGTCCCTTCAGCGTGTGGAGGATTTACATGTGTCAGTCATGATCTTTATTAGGTGTCAAACAGAAAAATCCCTCAAGTATTCAGCAGGAGAATAGAAACCTTTTTGATACAACCAAAAAAAAAAATTTGTTACGCCTTAAATACTTATGTAAAAAAGAAAAACATCTAAACAAGTTATCTGCTGTATTGACTTTCCAGGACTCTGTATGTGTAAATAGAGCCTATTTATTAGTGAGCTGCAAGTAACATTAGTAAGAACCTGTCATATCACAGTTTGACAAGTGAGGCTTCCTATTAATAATCTAAGTTTATATTGAACATATGTATTTTTCTGAAGTAACTAGCACTGAAAAATGAAAACACTGGATTTTCTTTGTTGAAACACTAGAACCTGAGGTTTAGCTTTCCTTTTTATTTAAAAAATGGAGGGTTTGTATTTGAAGAAAGATTTGAGTTTATTAAATATGGGGTGCTTAAAATGGGCCGTTGTTTGCATGTTATACCCCCCTCACCTTCTTGTTTCATAAATATAAAACATCAAGGATTCTACAGTTGTCTTGAGATAGTATAACTGCTGACGTTTTGCTGTTAAATCAAATGTTTATCTATTACTTGTTGTCTTTTCTTTACAGAGATTAGTTTTGTAATAATTCTTTGGTGCTACTGGGTTAAGTGATGAAGAATTTTAGTGTGTACCATGTTAGGCACCAATGATGTCAACAGTTATTATTACTAGTGCCCAAGTGTTTCAGACAGTAGTGTTGAAATGTTATGGATTAAGAAATCTTTTTTAAAAGCTGCAAATAGTTTGGGGTTTTTTTTCCCTTTGTTTTTTTTTAATTGTCGTTTGTTCTCTCCCCCCCCAACCCCCCACCCCCAGACAGTTGCTCTACAGAGTGAAAAGTATTACGCAAAAGGGGTATTTTGAAGTTAAATCTTTTTTCAACTGTGGAACTGTCTCTTTTTTTTTTTTTTTAAACTTACATATTTTTTCCCCAGAATGTAAAAAGTAGTTCTAATGGGATATGGGGAGAAGCTGGATGGCAACAAACATACAGTGTCAGGTTTGGTTGCTTCAAAGCTATTGCAATATAGTTACTACAGATTACATAAAAATGGTTTATTTTATTAGCTTCCAAATAATGTATATAGAGATTTGTTAATGCCTTCAAGTCAAGCTTACACTCTTTGCTTTTTAAGAAATAGTTATAGGCATGTTGTATTTGCCTTGTGTAAATTATAAAAGGCTATTTATTAAGTTTTCTGATAACTAATCTATTTATTAACCTGTATTGTTTTAAAATAAATGATTTATTTCTAGCTCAATGCTTGTTTCGTGACTCCTCTTTATCACACAGGATAAAAATCAATTTCCCACACATCTAGCTGCTGTACAGCCTAATCTCAATTCCTAAGACCAAACTATTTCTATTACCCTCTAATAAAATAGCAGCCTTGCTTCTACTGAGAGCAGCAGATTCTTTCATGTGTAAAAATCA